TACAAGTACAAATCCTGTGAGCAGAAGAGCAATCTGTGGATTAATATATGTGGATTAATATATGGGGTTTGACTAGGCATATAAAGTAAAAAAAAAAAATTAAAAAAATTAAAAAACAAACAAACATCCCAGGAAACCAAGCTCCAGTTCTTTCTCCTGTCTAATTAAATTTTACAACCTCCCTTTTTAAACAGCATATGGGACACAGATTTCGTAGTCAGCTGGGGATCAGTTAGATACGTGTCTGCATGTTATTCAAGTTCCAGCTGATTAAGCCTTTACGTATACCAGAAGTTTCCTGTGATATTTGTACAGACAATCATGGACAACAAAGCTAGCTTGAAGCTTTTTGACAAAATAAGTATCATCCAAAAATGCCTCTATCTATCTTAGCCAAAACTTTGTCAGAAATAGGTCAAATCAGATTTTGAGGCTATGAAAAATTAGTTTTTATAAAACAAGATTTTGACACATCAAATTAAACATTTTGGTTTTCTGTAAAATGGCTTTTAGTTATAAGATGTAAGTACAGTTGAAATGCTTTGAAGATCACCTAAATGAAATATTTGTCGTGACATTTTTGACGTTGTTATTACTCCTAGTTAATAAATTTTGTCACGTTTTTGATTATTTTGTCACAGTTTAGGAAAGACAGCTTTCCATAAGATTGGAAAAAGTCCAAATCCAGTCCTAGTTCAGCCCATTATATGGCACAGATCAGAAAGCAAAACTCAGTGGAAGAGAATGAAGAAGAACATATAAATGTTCTCAGAAAAAAAAAAGAATGAGGTATTCTTGTTCTACTTGCCCTTCGCATCTGCTCCCTAGCCTTTAATCATTCATTAGCATCTTTAGTTCTGGTACAATTCTTATCAGGTATCTATTCCTACAAGTGAAGCATAGTATTAATGAATAATGGGGATACATTATTTTAGCAACTGTTCCTGATTCTGTTTAATGACTGAATACAAAATGGCTTCTCTTCCTTCTACCGTGGCTATTTAATTTAGATATACTGTAGATAACTGCTTACAGAAGTCATTCCTTAAAACAACAGGAAATGTTTGCATGTTTACATAGCTCATACAATAATGAAATACCTTTTGTATTTTTCTCAAGGTTATATAGAAAGCAACATAATATGTTAACGATAGACCATTAGGGAACTGCATTACAACAGAAAAATTCTCTCTCTGTGTATGTCCTGAAAAAAAAATTACTGGTTAACTTCAAGTTATGGTGTTTACTAAATGAAAGCAGTTCTGCTTCAGTGGTTGAAAATGAAAAAAAAAAAAAAAAATTTTTGCATTTTTGTTCAAAGCAAAGTTTTTCCTATGAGTTATTTATTATTTAAATTACTTGATGCTGTTATTTGACCTAGAAATTGGAGTGAAAGAAAGTTTAGGTGGGACAACTAGGAGTGAGCTATGTAAGTCTCACTCAGTGTGAAGTATTGTAGACTAAGCATGTACCATCAGGGATATTTTCTTGGGAAAAAGGGAACAGAATGTTTCAGCTGAGTCTTCTACTGTAAGCAATCCATGAAAATGAAAGCTGAAGATCCCACAGCTTCCTGGCCTCACTTCATCACTGTATTATGTAAAATGTAGAAAACCCCCTGTGAGCAAAGGGCTGGAGGAAAGGGAGATTTTGATAGAGGTTCAGTTCATGGGAAGCTCTGTAAATGGTCAGTTGACAGCCTTGTGTGCAATGAGCTCACTGAAAACTGCTTTGTGAGGCTGGATTTCCAATTTTGCTGTGTCAGCCAACATGAAGTGTTCTGAGCAGGTTCTCAGCTGCTGTGACTTGCTACAGATCTGCAGAAGTGGGTGAATCCTGAGTAGTTCACACTGTGTGAGGATTTCTCTTACCGAACAAATATGAAAGAACATTTTATATTTAATCATTTTCCAGTTCAGGCTGAAAAAGATCCATGTAGCCTAGTATTCTGGCTCCAAAAGTGATGGAAAGTGGTCAAAAATGGAGGGTGATTACTAAAGATCATTATAAAATAACAATCATGTAGTGATAGCTACCTGCTTTATATTCTGAAATTCTAGCAATCTGGCTTCCAAAGTCAGAGGTAGAGTCTTCTTATTTGACAAGTACCGATGGATGAGTTTGTCTAGGACATCTTTAACACATCAAATTCTGTAAACCACAGCTTTTTGTGGCAAGGAGGTTCAAGTTACCACCATACTGTATGAAGAAATACTTTTGGGTTCCTTTGTTTTCAGAGTCATAATGATTTGACGCATCAAATCATTTGTTCACCTTGTTCACTGTCTCCTCCCATGATACAAAAAACTTTATTCTCTATTAGAACTGTCTTTGTTACTCATGATTTTAGAGTACACTTCGTCTTCTCTTTGCCATGCATACTAATCCTAGTTTTTGTTATCTTTTGAAATTGTTAAAACTTGGTTTCCTATCCTATTTTCTTTTTCTTAGAAACAAGCTGAAATATAATTTTCAGTGATCTCTCCAATGGGTGCTGTTTAAAGGGCTTACAACAAGTGAACCTCCTTGAGTTTATAGCAAACAGGGATGCAATGAATTCCTGCAGCTCACTGGCATGATCTTCTCTCTCCAATGTGCTCCTTCATATCTTAGCAATCAACTGCAACATTCTTTGACAGGTGTCTTGCTTGCTACAGGAAAGTATTATCTACCAGACTTTGATGCCTGTCAGTGTCTTTTTGGGCATATGATCACTTTATGGTTTATGTCTTATTTTCACCTTAAACTGTGTGAGAGATGCAATCTTTGGTAATAAACTACCTTTTCTAACCACAGCAGCTTTTTTTTTAAGTGCTGATTCTGAGACCTTGAGCTGATGGGAGGTATCTTCCTCTTGGGCTTGTCATTTTTGAAACATCTTTTACAAGCTTCCACTTTCTTTTTCTTAACCTCAAATGCTACCATAGTAGAACTTTTTGGGAGTTTTATTGCTCATGCATGCATAATAAGTCTAATTTCATTACAGTTATTGTTAACATAGTTCTTTGATACAGAAGGATTCAAATGACAGGTCAGATGGCTTTCATGGGCTGCTTCATGTACTGTGGCCATGGATTCTTTTTTCCCCAATTACTTTTCCTTTCATTTAAGGTGTTGTGACCATCTACCTTTTTCAAGTTGTTCTGAACAAAGTTTAAAAATGGAAGATGTTTCTTCATCTCTCAATGCACTACCTCTTTTTACTGGCTTAATTGTATTTTTTGCAATAACTGTATTTGGAAGGCAAGAGGAAGGTGTTGAAGTTCTTCCACGCAAGGAGCAGCTGGCGAGTGTCAGTAACTCAACCTGCGGGGCCGAGCCTGGCCTGTTTCCTGGCCATGTCCTGGCGATGCTGTGCTGTGGGGGACAAAGCTGCCTGGGCAGCTCAGCCACCCACTGCAGGGCTTGGAGCAGGAGCATAGCAACACTGCCCATCCAGAGAGGCCAGGGTTTACAGTTTCCCTCCCACCAAGGTCTCTGGGCCAGGTTCCACCCGGAACACCTTTGTGGGACCGCAGTACGCATTAATAATAATGTAGAGACATACGGGGAGCGGGCAGGCTGGTGCATGAGGCATGCTAACTGCAAAAAGCCAGATTCGGGGAAGTCATCTGAGAGAGTGCTCCCAAAAAGTATTTTTCATTTTAGAATATGTTTCCCTACTGCTTTTGCATTTGATTGACAGATTTGCCTTACCTGAAATGTACCCTGAAAGGCTCTGGCATTTCAGCAAGCAAGAAAACTTCAAATAAGAACTTATAGCTTTATCTGCAGTGAGGAAAGCTAACCTGAAGGAGAGGGAAAAGTACTGAATGATTTTATGATTCTGAAGGAAATTAAAATTTGAAAAAAATTTTTTTTTTTTTTCTTTTTTTAAATCACATACTGGAGATGTCAGGGGAAATGTACTTAAATGAAAACTTGAACCCCAGGTATAACTGCATTATCATTAGCACGGTTGTTGTGCTGGGCCCTGCTAACAAAGTACACCATCTATTTTGCTATTAACTTTTACATCAAGGTGTTACAAAAATAGTAGGTAAGCAGGACACAGGAACTATCCTCATTTTCTTTGGAATGTGCCTTACATGTCAAATGCAAGTAGAAGGCTATAAAGGAGCCAGTTAGATTGAGGGAGGGCACAGTTCTCTTTCAGATTGTGCAAGGTTGCATTGTCAAAAGCACCATTAACCTGAGAGCATTTAAGACAATAGTATAATTACAGTAATGCACAAATGAATTAAATGCTTGTTTTAAGAGACTCTCTTGTCTTCCCTCATGCTTCATTTTAGTGAAAGAGGCTTTATGTCTAATCAGGCAAAGGCTTGAGACCTACTTTTATCCTAATCAATTTGCTTGTGCTCATTGAGGGACTTTAAGAAATCTTTGAAACCTTCAAGGAATCCAAGTAAATTTTTTGCAGGATTATAATTTTTTTTTCTCCCCTTATAAGTCTTTAGTGATGAGCTGTCCTGAAACATGTGCAGAAATAATCCTCTGCCAAGGTGTGGTATCCAATATGCCTGTAACCACCCTGGCTTCAGGTTACCTGTAAACTGAGAAAGACATTCTTAAATGTTCTTAAACATGATGAGAACACCCTTTATGTTCCAGCAGAAATTAAAACTTTCAGTCAAAGATGGATCTGGAGAGAGAGCATTCACCATGCACATGTTGATTCAGATAGTCTCAATGTGAAAAGTGTATCTGTCTAGGCCTAGAGCTTTAGGTGACCACTTTGTGTCTCAGAAATGCCAGTGTTTCTCTGGCTGTCCCTTCTCCTTGCTAAGGACTGGATCTTAGTCACCAAGATGATCCTTGTCCAGTCTCCTTCAAGAGATGTGAGTGGGAGCCCAGACTTGGTGTTTTGCATCTTTAGCTCCTGGTGACATCAGACTAAAATAGTACCTTTAAATCTCTTTCAGTGTCTTTTTTAGTCTTTGAAAGCAGTTCTTCAGCAGCACAGTCCAGAGCACCAGCAAGAGTCCACAGGCAGCAAGTGATTTCAGCTCTATGTGGTAATCTGAAGCAGCTTTATTGCAACATTGCGGTGATACCATCCAAACTGAGGTCTGTTTAAAAAGTGCAGCATTGTTTGCCAGACCGATGTTAACATGCATGATTTAAGTGATGGCACAAGCAGAACTTCGACTCAAAATGGAGATATTAGAGATACCAAAATATTATCTTTCCTCTTGCCAATGAGAACAGCTGGCAGGATGGGTTTACTGAACAAAAACTTTGGCCAGCAGACAAAGGTTATCATTTTCACAGACTTTCCTTCTGAAGTACAGGATTAACAAAACATGCTATTTTTTTATTTCAAAATTGGAGGGTTTGTGTCTTTCATCTGGTCAAATTTAGCTTAAAAGTGGAAATAACATCAAAGTTACATGCACCATAGGGAGACTGTTAATGTGGTAACAAAGGGCATTTGGCCAGTTAAAATAATAAAAGACTATACAGCTTTCCCAGTGATGGCTACAGCCCAATTAGTACTTTCCAAGTAGAGCCACAATATTCTTTTCCAAATTATGCGGTTTGGCACGATTCAGAGTGAGCAAACTTACTTTCCTACAAGGGAAAAATATAATTAAGAGAAAAAACAAGGTCATGTGGTATTATGCTTCAAGTAAGCAATAATACACCATGGGGTGTGCATTAGTCAATATTCATACACCCTGGACAGGCTGAGACAGAGACAAAGCAATGGCTCAGCATACAAAAAGATACATATATTATCTTAATAAACCTATGTGCAAAGGTAAAATGCAAATGGATGTTTTATTTCCTTACTAGATTATTTTACGGGAATAGATGTTCAATATTCATGTGTATAACACTCATAAATGTTACTTAAAAAATACCTTTTCTGTTAACATTTTATACTTTTTAGTAATAAGTGAACTTGCTGTTTTCATTTCGTCAGAGTATCTGTTTTATTGGGGTTTTTTCTGCTGTTAAAGCCAAAACGGCTTGAAAGTTTTTTGATTTTTTTTTTATCATTAACTGATTAAGTTTATTAAAAGGACTTTCAACCTGAATGGTCACACTGGAAGCCTCTAAGAGTCAATTCTTACATTACAGTAATCTACCTTCTAGGTTTCTGCAAGTGACACAAAGCCTGTAAAGACTCAACAAAATTGAGGATAAAGTCACAGGATTGGAAAAAAAGAAAGAGCAGCTTCAAATCTGGAAGTGAACTTGCAGGACCCTTGTGAGGGTAATTTTTAGCAGTTTTGGGGGGGTTGATAGTGTTTTTTAAATGAACAAACTGTGTAGCTGAAGCACAGACAGAGAGGGGAACACACAAAAAGAAAGCTGGGAGACCTAGTGTATGTAATACAGCAAAATGGGAACAGCCCAGTGAGACAGACATCTGCTCAATTTTTGCTACTGACACTGCTCATGGGAAAGGCCTGTGATATGCCAAGAGGAAGATGAAAAAAAGAAGAAAAAGCAAAACTTCAAAAAACATGGAACCACTCCCATCACCTGAAGCTTAGACCACACACCTTAAAGGGAGTAACCCACATCCAGCTCAGGTGCACAGTGTGAGCACCTTATCTCCCTTTCAACTCCACCATTTTTCACATCTCATATATAAAGTGCTTTTTAGAGAGGAATTTATTATTTATTTCCTGTTTCCTTAATAATTACAGTATACTGTGATTATTAAAGAAATGGGAAATAATTTATTTAAAGAAACTGGAAATTACCTATGGTTTTATAAACCTTCCTGAGTTGCAGTATCTCACCATTGCTGCTTTTTGGCTCACAGCTGATACAGTTTCTTTCACTTCTCGGCTCCTCTGGGGAATACCTACTCTCCTAAATCAGCCCTGCCTACTGCAGTTCTGTGTGTGAAGAAGTGGGAAATGTGTGGGGAGTGAAACTGGGGCACAAATAATCAGATATATCATTTCAGTAGTCACACAGGCTGTGCACATTACACACGCTGCCTTCTCTGGAAGCACAAATCAACAACTACTTGCATTCAACACGCCAGTCATCTACACAAAATAAGCTCTGACACACCTGATTTTAAGATGTCACTTGACAGACAGAAAAATCCTTATCAGCTACAGAGTTCCTCTCAGCATTAAACTACTCTGAAGCAGGACCAAGGTGCCAAAGCCCTCATATTGTAGACCTATATCATTGCAGACTATATAATTTTAAGCCACTCCCATGACAGACCAAAAGGAAAGCAGAAGTCAGTGCTGGAGCAAGGCACAGGGCTCTGTCCCATCAGCTGCCATGTGCTTGCATTAGCCTGCATGGCACAGCAGCATCCATGCTGATGCACAGCTCCTCAATCCACAATTCCCAGAGTGGATTTTTGTTTCACTTTTTATCTTGAATTAGCATGACACTCCTTACAATATGAAACTTATCATAGCTCTTATCTTATCCTTCTGGTACACATCCACCTGAACCCTCTTAAAACAGATTTAATTCACCAAATTTACCTTACCATCTCCATACTAAATAATCTTTTTTTCAGAAAGCAACAGGTCTGTTTCACCCTGAATCAGAGCTCCAAGAAATCTAATGGCAAGGAAGCTAACACAAGTAATAAAGAGAAAACAACTAAGGAAAAAAAAAAATAAATCACTGTTTTACACAGCAAATATTTTCTGGATGCTTCTCTATACAGATGCCAAACAGTATTAACTTACTGATGAGACCAGCTTCTCAGAGAAGCATAAATTTTCTCAGCTTGGGAAATTGTAATTGACTTTTATTTCAAAATGTCACCAAAAGATACTGCACAAGAGGAGAAACTCTTATTTTGTATTGAGTATTTCACATGTAAATAACTGCCTCTCTTAAATCACTTAACAAATGTTTTTCTATATAAAAGCTGTATCAATAACAAAACTATACTGTGCAAAAGAACATCTTGTCAAACAAGTATGCCATATTTACCTGCAAAACCCACTGCACTTGGATGCAGAAATTGTGTTTTATTTTTCTTGTATGTTCTTGCAATGATTTCATCACCCCTATGGTACTGTGCATCCTCCAGCAGTATATGAAGAAATGTAACTGGTATCTGTCATGTGTAGTTTAATTCTTTTTTAATTAGCCCAGAACCTCTGTGAGATTAAAATAATAATTAGTGTTGCCCTCTACTACACATTTTACTTTCTGTGATGTTTCACTTTGTCAGGCACTTTGCAAATCCCTTTCCTTACACAACACAAAAAATGTATCATTGTCTAAAGAGGAAAGACTAATAACAAACCTTGTCCCAGTTTGACAAAAACTTTTACTTTTTTCAACTAGCAAAAAAGGAAGAGGTATATTAAGGGAAAGAACGGTTTAAATTAATCTTGTCAAGTTAATATGATCACTTGGCTGTACCCTGCTGCAGTGAAGGCCTGCAAGTTTCTGATGTCTCAAATATTTCTAAAAATACAGTGAATTATGGGTATAGAAAATAAACCTTGTGACAGAAATATAAATTTATTTACTTTTTGAAGCCACTATTTGCATATCATAGAATACTAGAACGGTTTTGGAAGGAAGGAACCTAAAAGATCATCTAGTTTCAAACCCCCTGCCAAGTGCAGAGACTTCACTGGACCAGGACGTTCAAAGCCTCCTCCGGCCTAGACTTGAACACTTTCAGGGAAGGGCCATCCACAGCTTCTCTGGGCAGCCTGTTTCTGTGCCTCACCACCCTCACAGTCAAGAAGCTTTTCCTAATACCTAACCTAAACTTGCTCTTTCAGTTTGAACCTGTTTCCCCTTGTCCTTTCACTACATGACCTTGCAAAATGTTCCTCTCCACCTTTTCTGGAGGCTCCCTCCAGGTACTGCAGGCCACAGTTAGGTCACCCCAAGGCCTTCTCTTCTCCAGGCTGAATAATCCCAATCCTCTCAGCCTTTCCTCAGTGGGGACATGCTCCAGCTCTCTGATCATCGTGTTGGCCCTCATCCAGACTCACTCCAACAGGCTGTTGTCCTTCCTGTGCTGGACACCCCAGAGCTGCACCCCACTTTGTACAGCAGTGATTACTGCGCAGCTAGCAGCTCCACAAGGGTACCCCAAACTAAAGAAAACGTATTCAATGTTACTTATAATGCATCAAATAGTTAATGTGTTCGCTTTTCCACTTCAACATCAAAGAGGGTATTATGTAGCAGTAGTCAAGGAGGGCACACTAAGTAAAACTACCTTTTAATAACTTAATAAAGTAATCCTGAGCAGACACAGATTCCCTTCCCAATAAGCAGATTCCCATCAAATTTAAAACTGACAAAAAAGATTTTTCAAGAATGCTCTAAAGCTGCAAAACCTAGCAGATAATTTAAATAAATTTTTTCATCCACCACTCTTATGAAAAATTAAAAAAACCCAAAGCATCACATGACTTTAAAATAATCTTTCTCCCTCTAAAAACAACCTTCAAGAAGGTAGTCTATCTTTCTAATAAAGGGCGAAGCTGCTAAGTGTGGGAATTTACTACCCTTCTGCTATCTATAATTGCATAGGTAAAGGTATTTTATAGATTGCTGGCTTCCACATCAAAATGAAGAAGCATCTATCATTTTCTTAAGGATTTAGTTTCTAAACTCCTAGCTATTTGAACTTGCAGTCTAAAATCATCAACATGTTTGTGAAAGTCTCCATGTCTGTTAAAACTTAAGAGTTACATAGTCTTCATTCCAGAATGTATGGTCCTTAAATGGACTCTTTACAACTGGGCAGCATCAAAGCTTTTTTTTACCCTGGAAGTAATTGATATAATAATCCTAATTATTTTGAAATACGACAGTTAAGCAGCTGTAAGTATACAGGGCCAAAAAAGAATGTCCTAATGTACTGTATGCAGTGTATCACACTCAAACATTTACTTTCTATCATATTACACTGGAGCATTGAGTGAAAACTCAATATTCCTTAATATGTCGTGCCTGGTGCTGTCAGTGTGCTGAGTGCCTCTCTTTGGTCTCACAACATTATTCCTTTTTATTTTTCTATTATCTTTGGCATCATCTTATCCAAAACATGTGTTACCCTTGGAAAATGCACATTAAAAATACACACTGCTAAACTCACTCTTGAAGTGCATGGTGTTGGCAGTGAAGACATGCACTCAAGGATTAATTAAAAAATCTGCTGTAAACTAGGAGCATATCAGTTGTAAATAACACAGGAGATAGATCTATGTATGCATAGAAGCTGACTGCAGGCTTACTGAGTTGCCAGTGGGATACAACCATGAAAAAGCAGATGCTAACCATAAACCAGATAAACTATTTCTTATTAGACAAAAGTAAAAAAATTATGCCATTACTTAAAGCACCTGAGAGATCTCACAGAGATCTTTTTCATCACATTCGTGGAAGGTGAAACAGGTGAAAAATTGGATAGATTACCACAGTGATGTGCTTTTAAGAGCAAGGCTCAAAAATTCTTGCTTGTTTAGTCTAGTAGGAACAAAAACTGATACAGGAAATAATTATTCTCTAAAAACACAATAGGGCGGTAAACAGTAGGCAAGGAAAAGAACTATTTACCCTAGCAGACAATGTTGGCACAAGAACAAATGGGTGTAATTTGGCCATGAATAAATTTAGGCTGGAAAGTCAGAGAGATTCTGGCCATAAAAGTGGTGAGGTTCTAGAGTAGTTTTTCAACACAAGTTGTGGGGACAAAAAAAAATAATAGCTCAAGCTATTTAATGATGAGGATTTTTGAGTTCATGGAAAATGCCACAAGCATAGTTCCCTTGGTAAGTAAAAGACTGCATCTTGATCACTGAAGAGGTTTTTTCCAACATTGTTTGCCTATCTCCTGAAAGATTGGGGTAAAAAACCCCAAACAACAAACTTGAAATTAAACTTGATTTATGCATACAGTGTAAAAATAGTCCTTAAGCAAGTACCATCCATATGTAAAAGGCCTCTGTAATTGTATTTGTGCCATAGGAAAACAATTTAACTTGATAAATAGATATTGCGTTGCACTTAATGGTTGGAATTTAATTCTTTTTAATGTGAAGATGCAATTTGTCACATTCTAATTTTCCTGTGGTTTATAGAGTGTCTTTCTACTACTTTTATTTTGCCTTTCTTTAAAGGTGTAGACAACAGTACTATAACAGTGTGGACAACAATGAGAGACAGATAGGAAATAACATCTGCCTATTTATTTATACCAGTTGAGCCATATTTGGCCCTTGAGTTCCTCGGATGAGCCTTTGTTGTTAGTCTAAATTAGTGCTAAGGAAAAAAGTCACCATGGAAAGATGAAATCTGAATATCATAAAGAAAGAGGCAAGCAAAAAACCAAACATATTTGAGTTAGAAGAATAACTTAAAGTTCAGAAAGGGTGTCCAAAGAAAACAAGGAATGCGTTACAAAGCTAATTTCCACTAACATAGAATTTGCTGAGATTGCAGCCAGGGGTTTAGTCTTCTAAGGTTTTCTTGTGCAGCTTCTGATACCTGTTATAGTCTCACTATTAATAGCTAATAAATATGGTTCACCCAACACTGTAGTGGCTCTTGAAATTCAGATCCGTGGTATACTATGCAATCTGAAGAACTACAGTTGTTTAAAAACTAATCTGTTCTCTCATCAGCAAAGCCAAGCAGCAGAAAGAAAACCAAAACATTGCAAAGGCAAAGTAGCGGTGTTTCCCTATCAGTGTGAAATTATAAAGAAGTGACAGAACCCTACTGAAAATAAAGTTAAATGACTGCATATGCATAAAGTTGTGTTAAAAATTCTTATTTTCAAGTGTATGTGTGCACATATGTATGTAATTATAAATATATTTTTATCATAAAGTATTTATAATTTGCATTCTCCGTAAGCCCACTTGCAAAAGGTCTACTGTGGAAGAAACTGTATTATCTACTGCATAGCTGTTAGCTTATTGTGAATATGCCAAAACATAACTCAATATTCAGTTAACATAATTCAATTCACCTTTGCATTAAAATGTTTTTTCTCTTCTTTTTTTTTTAACCTCTTCTTACCTGTACTTACCAGCTACAGTGTTCAATAGCTTTTTCCATTTACATCTAACTGAAGCTAAGAGCCTGAAGGCCTCAGTAAACTTTTGGGAGGACACCATGCCTTGTCTGTTAATCAGAGGAATGTGTTTCCCCTCTGTGAAGTCTGGTCTGCCCATCCCAATAGCAGCCAGCCAGCAGGTGGGACCTGGTAAAGTTTTACTGTGGCTTGTAAATGAATAGCCGCTGATTGAGCTTTTGAAAGTGAAACTGCAATTTCCAAGGAGGAGAAAAAAAGAGAAGCAACCGTAAGTGCTGGGTTATTGTGTTTCTGAAGGCTGTAAACAATGGAAATGAAACTACAATACGGCAAGAAATTTAACACATTTGGTGTGATCAGGACTCAGCAGAAGCCATATAGATGAAAGCAAAGGTGTCTCTCTCCATTAAGTTTTACACCTTTGCTGGTGGTGAAGAGGTCATGAGCAAAACCCATTGGTAAGAATTCAAAAGATGAAGGCTTATATGAGGTAGTGCATCCTGCCAAAGCTAGTTTTGTAAATGCAATGAAGAAGACCAGATTTTAGTCCTGGCCCTACTAACTTGTGACTGCTGTCTCCATCCTACACCCCACACTCCACTGCTAGCAGTCTCTATACTGTTACTATAGTTGCATTCAACCTCAATTTATGATCTCTAGGTTTTACTTGAGACTTATGTCTCTGCTGTGATACAATGGCACAGGCAAGATCCAAAATTCTGCTTCCAGTAGTTTTCCAGCTCTGAAAGGATTCATGATTTAACTAGCAAACTGCACTTCAAAGAATGAAATCAGTAGAAAGGTTCTAGTAGTCATCAACATTGGAGATACCATGAAATAGAGGCAGTAACACATGGTTACTGATTTACCTTTGTTTTGGACTAGTTTGAATTTCTGTCTCTGGCATTTGGATGCGCTGATTTTGAAGTAAGTTTTCTCAATGGACTACTTTTTAATAAAGGAAAATTTAATATTTGGGAAGCTATTAAACACAGTTTCGGTACTCTTGGTGGTGTCAATTATCAGAAAACTGAATAAACCAGTTTTGAAGTAAGGAAGAATATTAAATAAAAGTACTTTGCAAATGGTGATAAATCTTAAAAGGGGGGAGGAAAGAGTAAATAAACTTTTAAGAAACTTGGTGACAGGCACTTCTAAAATAACTACTTACCCATCATCAATGGAAATTACATTCCTAAATGTGCAAAAGCCACCTTGTCCCTTCATATAACTTCACCTCACTCATTTCAACAATTTTCTCATGCAGATACAGCAAGATTGACTAAACCTGGATCAGGAAGGAATTCAAGTAAACTCACAGCCCTGATGCTGGTCAATGACCACTTTTTAAAAAAAAAACAAACTGAAGACCCAGCCCAACTTTATAGTTACAATAACTAAAAAACGAAATGCACATAATGAGAATATTCACAAATGCTTTTGGTGTAAATTGCATGTCTGTCTAAACCAAGAAGTTTCCCTACTTTTGATATTCCAGGACACATTAGTTTATTTTCTAGATTTTTGTATTTCAAATCTGTCTCTTAAAATTCAGTGTTCTGTCTGTGGGTTAGGGAAAAATCATCAATTTACTGTGAATTGTTTAAAAGAAAATACAGAAACTTCCCTGTTACCATGGTAGGTTGTTACATGCATTGTATTTAAGTGAGCACTGATAAATATACAGAATATTGGCTACCTCCTGTCTAGAACTCACTCCAACCCAGGTAAGCTCTTAAAACTCTGCAGAAGGTACACAAACTTTACAAAACTGGTACTGGTAGAGGAAAAGCTTTACAAGCTTATACACATATTAAATTACTTTCTGCTACGTGTAAGTTTATGAATACTGCAAGAATGATTGGTTAAGGATATTATTATTACTTCTAACATCAAATCAGGTCCTGAAAGCAGTTATTCTTTGGAGGGAGTCACACTTCCTTTTAAATGCAATCATCACTTCATCACTGCAAGTACATTTCATTTTTGATAAAAATAGATAAGAGGCTTGCAATAAGGTTTTTCAAAAACTAGGTTGCTCTTATTATATGAATCTTTCAGCTGTAATTTATAGATTTATTTGTTATGTTTTCTAAAAATTATCTTCTCTGTCTGAAAATGGCACATTGTTTTCTCAAGTATTGAGTGATTATTCTTCCTTCAGATAAAAATCGATTCCAAAGTATGAACATTTTGTTTTCCCTTCATACAATGCCTTGCACAATAAAATTGTTTTTTCTTGACAGGTATTGTGGTTAAATATACAGTAATGTAAATATTTTCCACTGTGCTGTTATGAATGCAGGGAATTTCGGGGAAAAAAATGGACTACTTATCTACAAACAATATAAAATATCTGGGTAGAAATATGTACTTGTCAAGAGTCCCTAGGCTACTGCTGTAGTGGAAGATGAAAGGACCTCTCCACATTTGAAAGAGAAGGAAGGCTGGGAATTTCTCAGTACTACATTAAGACAGCATTTTAATGCTTTATAAATAAAGAAACAAAATTATGGTTATGTATTCAGTCATTTTCACATATTTATGATATCCCTAGACAACTATATTTAATTCTTTGCCCCTAACATTCCCAAAGTATCACTGAAACTTAAAACTCTTTGGAGTAGCCAATTTTATAACTTTTGTGTATTAGCTAGTGATCTAAATTCCCCCAAGTTATGTATGTATATATATGTGTATATATATATATATATATATATATATATGTATGTATATATATCAAACACAGAATTAGGAAGTTCTTATTGTTCTTAAAGAGCATGAACTCTATGCTCAAGACAAACTCTCAATGAGCAGCAATTCCACCTTTTTGTCCTCATTTCCTGAAGAGCCTGCTCCTAATTTACCACACACAGCACTAATGATGAGAGCGCTACTTTCCATCAGGATTTCCCCCAGCTGTTACTGGTTCATTATGTGACTCACCTTTGTTAAAGAAATTATTTTCATGGAGAGCCCTGTAAGGTGAAAAAATTGTGTTTAGAGGTACCTATTTACAAAAATAAAGACTCATAGACTTTGACAAACAGTCATAGACAATTTTACAAGTATTGTCTAAATTGAGGCAAGCAATCAGAAGCACTATAAAATTACTTTCTTATTTTGTTTTTCGCTTTTTTTCGGCAATGAAATCCATCCTGCACATACTCCCAATGGGCTCCAGATTCTGCTCTGAGAGCTCAGCAAGTCTCACACACACACAGAGACACACAGACACACTGAGGCATTCACAAGGTGAAGCACATGCCCTTAAATTTTTTTAATTACCTAGCATCAAGCTGTGTGGCAAAGGAAAGGGTGCACTCCAACTTCTATATATAATGAAACAAACACAGAACACAAAAAACACAGACTGCACACAATTCATAACCATATCAAACCCATCAGATTGCAAAGACAGGCTGGCCCTTGTGAAAAGTTTGAGTACAGACAAGCTTTGAGGAAAACCATACCTTTTGACAAAAGGAGTTGCAACAATTCATGCTTACTTGTATGCATAACAAGAGGCATGCTAGGTCACTCAAAGAAAAAGCAAAAATACCATTATCAAAAAGGCCAGTTTAAATGGGATGTAGCTGCTTAAGCCAAATCTGAAATATGTGGTCACTTTACAGACATTATGGGTGCAATGGCATAGGCATTTGCACGCATATTAAAAGGACTTAAAGCTGCATCTGAACAGTAATGCTAGCACTGTGCATATGTGTATGAGTAAACATTGGTAGACTCCCTCAGGTTATGCACCCTTTTTCCACAGTCTCAGTGCTCATTGACAGTTTTCACCACATGATACTCGTGCTAGGTACAAATTTGACAAGTTTGCAAAAGAGCTGCCTCTGAAAATGTAGAAATTAAATGTAGTAATTCCTACTCCAATTACTTAATAATGGCATTTTCCCTCTTTTGCTTTGTATGGCAGTCACAGAAGCGTGTCATGTCAATGCCCGTCTGCACACCTGCCTGTCCCCCCACCCCACCAACCAGGACATTACCTTTAGGACCACAAGAAGTGGGATCTCATCCTTTGGCTATCTCAGTGAAACTTCTTACCTGCAGGGTGGAGGGGCAGCCAGTTGTTGTGATTGCTGTGCCATTGGAGGTGGGTTTTGAATGAACATAGGCAGAAGAAACAAACAGATGAGTACAACATAAGGCTTTCTACTGAGCATTTCCCTGAGTGTAATTGCGTATAATTTAGATGTACATTCATTTCTTCACTATCTCTGTGAATATTGAGTATAAGTGAACAGCACAGTGGCAACACCATAATTCATCAATTCATATTTTTTTTCCATTTAAACAATGTTTCCCACTTTAGCATTTACCACAACTGCTAATTCATTGTGTGTGCTTCACTATGCATGACCTTCTACAAATGAAGTATAACATTGCAAATATTCTTTTGGACAGAGTTTCTTGGTAAACTTTGAGGCAAGGCCTGTGGCAGAAATAATGTCAAATGTAGTTAGAAGGGAAAAAAAAAAAAAAACCACTTATGGTTTTGGGCAAAACTTTGGCCATATTTTGAATTCCCGCTCATTTTTAACTATGGGGATTTTTTTAAGAACAAGTCCTAACACCATAAGAAGTTTAACCTGACCTGGAAAACCCACAGCAATAGGCTCTGCTGGCATGAGACCTGGGAAGCCCATTGCCTCTTCTGCACTTCCCATTTAGGATTTCATTTCCCTCTTTTGGTTGGTCTGAAATAATTTGATTTTCAGAACTTCTGGTTATGTTACGCAGCTAAAAGCACAGAGCAGGTGTACATTTATAGCCCATAAAGAAACTGAACCGATACTGTGAAATGCAGTGCAAATACTTTTAAAGCCAAAGGTGGCTTTTGATCCTATCTATGTAGTATAAACTGACTTGGCAAAATTATTTACCTCTATCACATCCTGGAGTTATGGCATCAAAGAGGAAAGGAGCTGCTCAGGTATTTTAATTGTGTCCGTGAACCACTTGGATTTTCTTCTGTTTAACTCTGAATTTCCTGTGTCAAAAATTTGGTTTGGAAATGCTGCTGTTTTCATTTCAAGTTACATTGGTCTTACTTTGTTTTTAATTTTTCTTCGGGAATCATGGTGTGAAATTCATAGCAGCCAGAGTACAGGGGAATCTAGCAATTCTTCATACATAATCATTAATAATGTATTTCTCTACGTTCTTAAGGGATCACATTTCCATAGGCAGTTGCAATTAATTCAAAGCAGCAGTACAGTGAAAAAAAAAAGCAATGAAACCCACAACAGACCCTCCTATCCTCAGGGCTCTTGTCCAAATAGATACAACCATTTCAGATCAGAACTTGTGTGTTTTATAGCAGATGATAATGAAGAATTGACAAGCAAGTAAGCACAAATATTATCAAATACAGATGAGACAGTCCCTTCAGTTGTCAAATAAACCTATCCTGAGATTCCAGTGTATGTTTACTCAGGTCTTGTGTCCTGGTGAACAGAAAGAATCTTCTGTTCAGTGTTGTGTCAACTATACACGACTCTTGTAATCAAGGAGAAAAAAACACAACAAAATAGCAGCAACTTTCACAAAAAGTATGTAATGGAAGCAAGTTAATGGATCTATCTTCTATATTGATGGCTATATTAAATATATTAAATTCTGTGGTAATAGAATGGGCTCCAATATGTTTTTTCATGTGTATGGTTTCATCACGGTTGCTGCCTGGCTGCAGATAAGGGTCCACCAAATGCATGGGAGTAATTTCACTGAAGTGGATATCTGTGCTTGTTGGGAACTCATGTAAAGAAGGGTTTTGTCCTCCCTTTGCCATTACAGATTGATTTATAGACAAGTGTAAAACAGTGAAGAACATAAAAAGGCATAAAAACCAGACTAATACATCTTTTGATGTGATGTATGTTAACTGTTGAATCCCTATTGCTGAAATTAGTGGCCGTACGTTAGAAGTTTCATGTTGCAGTCTGCCATTTTTTTTGACACATAAAATTATAAATTCTAAACACTGCAGCTGTAGCTACCTGATTGGCCATAGCCACATCAGAAAATACATGGATGATACGACTTGACTACATTTTAATACTTCCTATGAGGTAATATTGCTAATATTCTCTTCACAATCCTGTGTCTGAAGAGGTTTAAAGGCTTTTTTTTCCCATTCGCACACACAGTGTATCCTGCTGACAGACTGCAATCCTGCCACCTTTGAAACACACATCACCCCAAAAGGCAGAGTTCATTTCCCAAGGTTTCCAAACTTTTCTAGAGTACTTTTTTCAGGGCATCATGAATACTCTCGCCTCCTGAGTGTGCTGTCCTAACAGAGTCTGGCAACTCCTGCAGGGGCTCACACTGGCAAACAGCATTAGGCCTGACCAGCACTGCATGTTGTGGAAAGGCCACATGGAGCAGTGGGAGAAAGCCAGAGGCATGTTTAAAGTTTAATAGCAGAAACATAAAGTTAGAGGACTCCAGAGCAGTTCCATAGAAGGGTTTGGATTGGGCCCTTATGTGAAGCCACCAACAGCTTGTGAATTCTCCCTTAGCTGTGCCCTGCACTTGTTAGTGAGGACAGCTCACACCTCATGGCCAGCTGCCTTCTACAGGCTGTCACAACAGAAAAGACTGATAAAAAATTTAGGGTTGTAAAGACTCTGTGGAATCCAATTGGTTAACAGACCATGATTTCAATGCAGTATGTGGTACTGGAGGAGTGTGGCAATAACAATAATGATACTGTAAATATTGCCAGGTACTTGTACGGTATTTTGCAAAACATTCATATTTCTGTTTTCATGGTCCTTTCAGTATAGGTGTTATATCAGCCTATGTTATATTTTGTACATAAAACCTTAAAATGTTCTTCATAAAATAGTTAAACCACAACAACTAGTTCTCTTCAGCAAAGTTCAGTATAAATGTCTTGATTTTATTACTACAATAACATAATGTATATATGTAAACTTTTACCAAAGTTTTGGTATTTGCTCTCAGCTTTTTCTCTGTTAAGTTTTGAATACTACATGAAAACTAAGAATAGAAGTATAACACTGCGTGGACTGATTATTTCCAGATAGTGTAGTAACTTGAGAGTGTGTCGTCTAAGAACAGCATTTTGCTAAATCACGTTACTGAATCATTTAAAATCTAAGAATTTTGTATAATCATATTTTGTGCCCTTTCAAGTTCCTTTGTTATCACAGATCAAGATATAAAACCTTTTGATTCTTCTGCCTCTAGAGAACAGTCTCCATTAATATACAGAAAATTTAGAAGTACAGTAAATTACATTTTGAAAAGACAGAACTTATAAAAACTGAAGGTTTCAAGACCATTAGTATTAAGATAGAATAGGCACTTATTTAACAGCAGTAAAGAGCAAAAATGAATGCAAACAAAATCTGTAAGTTGTTTTTTCATAGAATTTCTAGAAGTGTATTTTCAATAAAAATCCATATTTTAAACATGCTTTCTTGCCCAATTTTAATATGAACAAATATTGAAACACTTAACTAGATGTCATGAGATCATGCTGTATTATATAACTACGTGCTGTAAACATGCATTTCCCACAAGAGAAATACAACACAGTTACAGAAATAAGAAGAAATACTGCTTACCTTCCTCCCTTAAAAAATATTCCCTGAAGGCAGAGTAAATCTGATTATAAAATGAAAAACAAGCCCGAAGTGTACAACTCACACACATACAAACAGCAGATACAGTCGCCTCCATGAAGAATGCCTGTTTCTAGCCTTCTGTACATGTTTCTCACTTCTTCACATTCTGGTTATGCTACAAGGATTCAAACTACACTTAAAATACTGTTCTGCAGCAGAGCTATAGGCACCAACATATTGCATAAACGGTACTTACTGTTCCAGAAGTCACGCATCATCCTATAGGAAATTTACACCTCCAAAAGAGGGATTTGTTACAACTGAGCAGATTGCGGCAAAACGCAGCGCCTGGCTTGTCAGAGAAAGTTGTTACTTTCAGAGATCATCAGCACATAGTCATTCACAGGGCACAGTAGCTTTACATTTATGTATGTGCATGCGTACCTACACACACACACACACACACACAGACACAGAAGGAGTCACAGCCTGTCTCTCACAACCACATGCTAATTGCTGAACAGGGAGAAAATCTTGTTAGTATAACACGCTATCATTTTTCCTGACCATGGCTTTTGCATACATTTTTCACATAGTACGACCAAAACCGGTGATGCTACAAAGCATTTCTGACTCAGACAGAAGTAAATATTCACATAAGGCACCGAACTCGTTTTGGCTTCCCCAGTGAGAGCGCTGCAACTGCAGCAGCAGTGCAGGGTCCCTGTGCTGGCACTCACTTGCTGCAGTCTCTGTGCATGAGTATACATTATAAACTAATTAGTAACACAAAGACATCTGATACCCAGGAACTAAAGAAAATCATAGAGAATCAATCAGATCCTACAGCAGGCATGTAGATTGGCTGTAAAAACATTTAACAGCAGGTAGATTTTTTTTTCCTGTGCTGTCAAAGTTAAAGGTACCAAAAGGAAGCACACACTAATGCATTTTTGTTCCACTGTGATATTGATCCAATGCCAGACGTAGTGAAACACAATGGGCACACAGTCAGCCTTGGTAAATTAGGTAGATTAGAGATCATTTGATGGTATTCTATTGTTGCTATTGTAATCACAGTAATTTTCACTGGTAATGGTGCTTCGTGATGAAGTGCGGTTCTCACAGGATAATTGTGAAAGGTATCGAAAGATTCAGGGTGTAGCATCTGGTTTTAAAAGCTCTTCAGATTCAAATTGGCATTTTACTTTATCTTGAAAATTTATTAGAGATTCAGATCATGCCGGTTTAAATGGAAAGGTGAAAGCAGGGTAATTTCAATCTATGAATTATTCAGATTCAGACTGGTGAAATTGCCATCCATGAACTGATTCTCTGACAGTCTCTTTTGCAGAGCCTCCATTACGCTTGTCATTTTTATTTCTTTATCTACAATCTCTCCCTCAGTTACTGAGCTTGTCCCTTAGGGCTGTGCTTCACAAACCAAGTATTTAAAATTGGCAATAACCTAAATGTGTTGCTGTCTCGAATCGCAGTCTCCACATGCTGTCTTTTCCAAATGATTAAAAGCCACATTCACGATGGTGTCTGTTAGGCTCTTCGATTAGATGAATTAAATTTAAAAAAATACAAAAAAAGCCAGCAAAGAGAAGAGACCAGGGTGTCATATCGAAGAAGAGCTATGTTCCTGTAACAGTCCAGCAAAGAAAGTGGTGCTTTGTGCTTGTTCCTTTGTTGTCAGTGTAACCCATTCTAGTTGCATAGCATCACGCAGGAAGAAACAACTGTTAAAGCAGGCTGACTTCGTGCCCCGGTTTCCAGCAGGAGCGGATAAGGACTGCGTTATAGACAGACTAATCCACGCAAATGTACAGGCTGAGACCAATCGCAATTAACAGCTTCTTACAGGCAAGAAAAACAGAAGTAGCAGTAGTAGTAGTTGTAGTATTTGTAGTATTAGAAGAAGAAGCGACTGGATACCCGAAAGGGTTTCATTCTCTCAGACTCCAGCTGATACAGATTGCAATCCCAGAGACTCTCCACTTGATGGCTGGTTGTGTCATTGCTAGTCGACTGCTGCCCTGTATCCAGAAGGACTGGGACTGATTTAGGTCAGAGAGTCTGGTTTCTTGTTTGAGCTTTGCCCTAACTGATGTAAGAAATTGCAGCAATCTGTATTACCAATCTATCTGACCCTGGGATGCTGGCACAGCTTCGGCAGTGGAGTACCCGCAAAAGGCCCCAGTCGGACAGACAGTGACAAGTGCCATCTCCTTTGTCCTATTGCTGCAGGTACATCACTGTAGCATAAAGAAAAAAGCCCTCTTAGTACGCAAAGTGGGAAATCAGGCGTTCTTCCTCAGAGGCAATTTGGGTACAGAGCTCCGAGCAGTCCCTGCTCAGCTGAAAATGCTGCCAGGCAGAAGCCAACACATCCATGCTGTGTCTGTTCCTACGCTAACACCAGGAATATTCCCCTCGTATGAAAAAGATAAGAATGAAAAAAAATCTATGCTGCTTTGTGCCTGGTTCTATGCGTCTGCTTTGCCGCACTGCGACTAGAAAACTGCAGCAGTAAGAGCTCTGGCAGTTGCGATAATGTAGAAAGCAGCAGCTCTGTGACACAGCAGTCAGCTGACTCGCAGTGTTATCATTCAATGTCCTCTATAGAATAAGGCCAGTTTCTAAGGTAGCACCAGGAGGATGACCTTGCATACAGAAACTGGGCAAAGAAGGAGTGGCAAGACTTGTGTACACCTGCAAATGATTTTGTGGTGATGTTTAGCATTATCATCGGGACCGTGTCGGTCTTTAGTGGTCTCTTTTCCCTCTCTTCTTTCCTCCTTTGCCACACAGAACTTGTTATCTGTTGAGCAGTTTTTCTTCTATCGTGAAACCGTCAATATGATCATGTACAGCCGATGACAACTATTATAATTATTATCATTAATAACAGTGTTTGGGTAAACTGCTTTAAAAATATTGCTTCCAAACCACGTTTCCACAAGAAATTGTGGGGTTTTATTAACTTCCCCCTCTCTGTGACTATGGATGTGCTCCAGGAGACAGAAAGTTATTGGGTGAACACCCCCGAAAGACAAATCCTAATTGGCAAGAGTGTGTCTCTGTGAGTTCTAATTGAGGCATCCGACTACCTAGACTGATTTTCACAGTTCTCTGTAGCTCCCAACTAAATTCACTGGGAACAGCTTGCTGTTACTGACTCTGGGAAGTCAGGGGAAGAACTTTAAACTTACAGCTGGCAAAATATGGAAACTTACTAAAGTTCTGAGTCAACAGGAGTCAAATGCCCCACTGCCACCTGGGGCTTTGAAAGTTCCCATGGGGAGCATCAGGCAAGCTCTTGAAAACCATCAGCGTGTGCCTGCCTACTTAAACTATACCTAAAGCTAGAGAAGGTTTGTCAGAAATTGCCATAAATCAACTTGCCAGTCACTTACTGAAAGAATTTATATTACATTGTGCTATCCTTGGCCAAGGACAGATCATCTTCCACTCATCTCAGTGGATGTGTTGTACGTGCTCAGGCCAGAGCTAAATTGGCTCTCACAGCTACTACTGTAGATTGTGCAATTTCAGTAAGACACTTTATAAGTCCATTTTAAAGCACACAGAAAATCTTATCCTGGAGTTTAGCAAGAACCTAGTAAGGAGCAGCCATTATACACCAAGCTGGTATTTCCTGTCATTTCCATACTTATGCTAAATTACGTCAGCATTAAAATGGACATAATTCTGTCAGAACACAGCAGTTTGCACCAAAACCTAAACCAACAGTAATAAAGCCATAAAACTGGTAAAAGTCTTGCTGTATCTTTAAAGCGCAATTCTCTTGGACAACACAAAGAGCAGAATACCCATGCAAAGACTGTAGTCCATTTCTGGATTGCTTCAGGGGGAGGGATGTCTGATCTTATGTGCAGATGGTTAATGGATGAGTAATGCAGCCACAGTCCTGTCCCTTCCTTAATCATTTTTTATTAAATGCCCTGAAGGCCACTCTTCCTGCAATCAGTAAAATCAGCACAGACGTCAAGTGGGGAAATGCCTGTGCTCTGCCCCCTGCCTTTACAGCCCCCAGACCTTGCTCCTCCATTACAGGCTGTGCCTCCTCAGCCCCCTACATTTGATGTTCAAGACTATCTTTTTACTTGCTCCTCTGGGATCTCCTATAGAAGCCTAAGAAGGGAGCATGAAGTCTAAGCAAACTCCTGGAAGCCAAGGATGCCAGTTTTCCTGTCTTCCAGGTTTTGCTGAGCGACTGGTGTTGTCTTGACTGTGCTAATGAAGGCTCTTTTTCTGCCAAACTCTGCATAACCCCACTTTTTAGCTTCGAGATAAGCTGGATGGCTGTTCCCAACATGGGCCTTTCAAGCCTCAGCTCTTCCTCAGAGAAGGATGGATGTAGATGGCAGAATTTGTGTTTCCTCCGACCATTACAGCCCTTGGAGAGGGAAGGGCAGGAGGGAGCACTTCTCTCCTCCAGCCAGCAGCTCCGTGGGGCCAGCTACAGCTGTAACAATCATAAATCTGACTTTTCCACCATGCTTTTTCCCCTGTAATCCTGTTGTCACTTTGAGGGTAGGTGGAGGCATTTTATTCCCTCAAAGCCCTATAAGCTGAAATATGCCTTGCAGCCTTTGCTGAGGGAAGGGTGAGGAAAGCCAGCAGTGGCTGGGGGGTCAGTGATGTGTGAAATGCAGGATGGGACATACCCACTGAGAACAGCTCAGAAGCTCTTTTAAAGCCCACATCAGGGTTTGTTTCTGGGATTGACTTTTCACTTTAGTTTTCTGGTGTTGATGAAGGCTAATGCAATTTCCTGCAATGTGTGCAGAGCTCCTTTTCTAGTCATTAACACACACATTTCCCCCCATGAACAAGATCCTAATTTGGTTTTCTTGAAGACTGTTGTAGAAGGTTCAAAGTTGAGTGTTTTGATTAGTTCTTGGCTATGTATCCATGTGTTTGTACTGTGTTACACTGAATGATATTGCATTATGTTTTGGGTAAGAAATCACACTTGGACAAATTTGGGAAAAGAGATTGAAACTTTTACCTCATTTATTACTTAAGCACTCCAGGAACAGAACAGATTTAAGTTTTTCCTCTTTTCTCTCCTTTTTCTTTTTCACTGAAATGAAAATTGCATCCAAGCCCATAAACTGGATGCCAAGTTTCAACTGAACACAATTAGAAACAGCTTAAATATTAAACTGAAAGCTGAGGGGCCAATGACATTTAAGGGACGCTCTCTCACAGGCTCTCAACCATAGCACTTCTGACAGAATGCTGTGTTAGAGATTAATTTTTAAGGCATCACCAAATATATCCTCCATATGATCCTACATAAGTTACAAATTCAGAATGTTTTGGAAGTCTTTTGGATGCTGTGTTCTCTCTTGTAAACATGTGCAACACTATATCCATCCAGCAGATATGATTTTAAATTCTCAGGGTATCACTGCAAATTAATAAGGTAGGGTCATGTTCTACACTTTTTCTATATTTTCTATATTGCTTATAGTTTTTAGTCAATGCATACAATTAAATGCTAAATTTTCAGCAAATAATATTTACTTCAAATGGGCCTTATCAGCTTTTTTCTTTTTACTTTTTTACCCAGATTTAAGTAAATCTGATTGTCTTGATTTTAATGATACTATTGTGTAAGCAAGTAACAGGGAATACATTAAACTACAGGGGTTTTGTGTCCATTGCTCATTGATGTATTTTTTCTCTTTACTTCCCAGTGTACAAACCTGGGGCCTTCAGGCATTTTAAATGATATGCACATACTGTATAAGATCTTCCCAACAGCTGGTTCTCTTAAGATTTCAGTGAAGTACCATATTGACCACTACCCCCTCTTCCCTGTATCTTCAATAAGCTTCCTGTAAGCTGAATCTTCTGGGAGAAAAGAAACTCCAAAACTCTTACTTTTCTTCCACAGAACTTGCCGAGGAACTGACTTTTCTAAAAACCAGAAAAGACTTTCAGAATTAGTCCCTTAATGCACTTTAAAAATGCCCTTAAAAATATGGGACCCAAATTTGAGACATGGAATTAAACTTGTACAAGCTGCCCCCTGAAGACTAACAGGGGCTAATTAAAAATACAACTCCTGTCACGGAAGTGAAAGAGAATCCTATGTATTTCCCAATCCTGCTTCTGCAAATCCTTCCTGCTGAAACAGCTGAATCAGAACAAATTGCTTGTGTGTGAGTTACTTTGGCCGTATGGTGAAAGAAAAAAAGAGCCGTGTGCCTCCTCAGCTATGTAGTAAATGGGAACTACCTCCACGTGGGTTTATACATTTATAGCTAATGTGGAGACTTTAATGTGAAATCAGGGAAATGAAGTGAGTTTGTGGGTCCCTCTCTGGGACTTGTGGCTTATAACCAGTTATAAAAATGATATTCAACCAGGTACAGGTATATGTTGATATATAAATATAAATACATATGGAGAGATGTTAATTTCTGGTATGAATAACCTTTTCTCATTCAAGTGATTAAAACACAAGCAAGACTGTGTGAAAAGTAGAACAAAATGGTGATACACAAACCTCACTAAGAATAACATGGAAATTTTTTGATCCAAAGTGCTAGAGGATCACTGCACAAGGTTGGCGAATAGGATGTGACAGGAATGTCAGTAAAGGACAGGCGCAAAAGAGACATCTTGTTGTCTGTGACACATCATTGGTGTCAGTCACTAATGATCTCCTTGACATGTTGAGTATATGGCTCAGAATGTATCAACATTACTTCTTTTTTCTATCATTACTGTTGGGAGTCAGTTTAAAGTTCCCATGATAGAAACCAAGGCCTGTGCAAAGGGGTGGTTGTGTGTCTTGAGGAAGATTTCATGTTTGACCTTATTTGGATGTGGCATTTGATAAATCTGGGATAATTACTCATGGAATAATCTATGAGATTATCCATTTGGGGCCTCTGTTTTTTCAGCTTTTGTTTGTGCTTCACTTGGTGGTTCTCTTTGCTGAGAAAGACTGCAGTAGTGCCAGGGATGAATGAGGAAACAATCCTGGAGAGAAAAAAAAAGTGAAAAATATTGCATAAATAGGGGGACCTCTATAAAAGGACAGAACTGAGTGAGTGCACTGAATGTATTGGCTAAATGCAGCAGGCTGCAGATAAAGCCATTAATCTGTGACAGCCCACCCAGAAACTTGAAATTCTCTACAAACTTTCAGGAACCTAATCCTCAAATAAAATAAATTCACACCTATATCCAGTTCCCCTGGCTGTCAGTGCTTACATAGTTGTGCATTTTTTGCGTTTGATAGGTAACGATTTTATTTAAAATTCTCATGTTCTTAATAGATGCACTTTTAATGACCACTATTACTTGCAAAATTAGAAAATAAATCAATATGTTGAGTTAAAGTATTAAAATACACACAGCTAAAAATAAAAATTGAAATTAAAAATTACAAATAGAAACAAACATGCAGGGAAGTGCTAAAATGAATGCAATCAGTTCCAGATTTAAAACAGCCTCCCCATGCTCACCCTTCCCCCTTTCCACTACTGGGTGGTCACGGACTCATGGCAGTTAC